GCATGTTATTGCTCAGTGTGTGAAGGAGGAGGAAGCCATTTGAAGCAAAGATGAACACATCATGAATTGGAGTGCTAGGAAAAGTTCCGCTGCAAAGCATAGTTTTTCTTATCCTTGACCCCGTCGTGCCTTGAATATAAATGTTGGCCTTGAGAAGGGGAATGGTTATGCAGGGGAAGAGGTGGCNACCCATGGCCTTGGTGTTATCAGCACCACACTCTCCCAAGTGAGCCATGGGCCGGCCCTCACCTTCACTTTCTAAAGTTCCAAGATACTGGTTGAGCATCCCTAATCAAAAAATCCGCAATCCAAAATGCTCCAAAATCTGAAACTTTTGAGTATCAACATGACAGCACAAATGGAAAATTCTACACCTGACCTCGTGTGAAGGGTTGCAGTCAAAATGCAGGTGCACCATGTACAGTTTATTAAGCCTGCCATTCATTGCTACTGTTGTTTAACTGCTGATATAGGTATTTTGGTGATGCTACTGCACAGCTTAGCTGCCATGAACACATTATTTTTTCACTGTATTAATGATATGTCGTATTTTTTAATGGTTAAGTACTTATGTGTGAATAAGTGTAAGAAAATGATTGCTTATTGGTGGCATATGAATTCGGTCAGGAATGATGGTGATGCCAGACAACCACAGATTGTCCACATGGATGGCTGATAGTGACACCTTTGCTCTCTGATGATTCAGTGTATACAAACATTGCTTCATGGACAAAATTATTTAAAAATATTGTATAAAATTACTTCCAGTCTATGTGAATAAGGTGCATATGAAACATAAATGAAGTTTGTGTTTAGACTTGGGTCCCATCTCCAAGATATCTCATTATGTATATGCAAGTATTCCAAAATCTGAAAGAATTTGAAGTCCAAAATGCTTCTGGTCCCAAGCATTTCAGATAAGGGCTACTCACCCTGTACTGCCATTCCCAAAGTCTCTTAGGGATTCTGTGATTCAAATCAGATTGTCTCTTGACTTTCCTCACTGTTGATTAGAAAGTGGCTTCTTGGGTTAACTAAGTTAGTTTTAACCATCATTATGCTTTCCAGCTTTTCACTTTTTGTTGCTATCAGTTCTTCTCTTATTCTCTTTGCTTTTGTAGATTTATGCCATTTAAAACAGCAACAACAACAACAGCCCTTCAGTGTTGTTTAGTAGGGTTTCAGGAGGAAGCAGAGGAGATTGTGTTCACCCCTCAAGTGCAGTCTGATTTAATTTAAAGTTCATCAACAATGAAGTGTTTTTATTTCAACCTTAATTACGCAGGTGGCCTTCTGTTGGGACATCCTTGGGTATGAAAGACAATAAATCTTTGCTGGTTATGTGCAGGGGTGATATTCAAAATATTGAACTACTGCTGTGGTATGGGCACTGACCAATTGAAAGAGATGCCATCATTATTGATGGTGCTGACTGCATGTTATTGCTCAGTGTGTGAAGGAGGAGGAAGCCATTTGAAGCAAAGACGAACACATCATGAATTGGAGTGCTAGGAAAAGTTCCGCTGCGAAGCATAGTTTTTCTTATCCTTGACCCCGTCGTGCCTTGAATATAAATGTTGGCCTTGAGAATGAACACATCATGAATTGGAGTGCTAGGAAAAGTTCCGCTGCAAAGCATAGTTTTTCTTATCCTTGACCCCGTCGTGCCTTGAATATAAATGTTGGCCTTGAGAAGGGGAATGGTTATGCAGGGGAAGAGGTGGCTGAGTCTGGCGTGAGATGAATTTCAACAGGATGAGGCTGATAAAGAACAAAGAAAATGCAAAAAAGACATAGGTAATTTCTGTTGCCAGTAAGGCACGCCTGGACTATGGATTCTCAGTTCAGGGTTGGAGGACTAATAGGTGAAAAAAAGACACAATCTTTAAAGAAATCTAGTCACTCCAATTTAAGATTCAGATATGTTACCTGGAAGTATGTTTTCATTTTTTCAATTTAAAAGGAAATATTGTAACATTGATTGAAAATAAGAATAAGAAAAATGGGAGGACACTTCAGATATTCCCAGTGTCTTTGTAAACGAGAAATACCTGGTGATAATGTTTTAACGGTTACTCTTTATCAATAGTTAAGGCAGACCAACACACAGGTATTTCCTAATTTCTATCAAAAATCAAACAGATGTTTCCCTTCCTCTTAGGAGCTTGCAATTTTAACATACAAAAGAATTTACAGACACACACACAGAATGATCTATTGATAATAAGAGCTGTAACCAAATAGCCCCAAGTGAGAGGGAAAGCTCTACTTTACATAATAATGCTATATAATTCCATAATAATTCCAAATAACACATTTGGAATTAAAATCCAAATGGATTTTTAAAATTCCATTTAAAAATGGTATTTTTAAAAAATTACCATTTGCAAACTTTAGTGAAATAATTGATTCAGACAATGATTATTAACAGATGCAAAAACCACTTGGTAAAAGGGGGTGGGAAACTGGGTATTCATGCCAAAGTATTGTGTGGGAATACTTACTGCTTGCCAAGAGAAGATGTTTCCTTTATAATGGAAAGTTCTGTGGTCATCAGATAATTAAACACCACATCACTAATAGTGAGACACACAGACTTGTGTATTCTGATGTGATGTAATAAAAAAACACATCACCAATGAAATATACTTGCCAAAAATGTTTACCCTGAATTGAATTAAGCTTTTTAGATGTAACTTCCATCTTAGAGGACAAAGGGTAGAGGAACTGGTGTGAGGTGCTTGCACAGAGGAATCCAAGACCAACTTTGCTTTTATAGCTCTTTTAATAGTTGACAGCTCTTTTTGGTGTTACAGCTTTTTTTGATGTTACAGCACTTCACTGCTTGCAAACAGGGAGAGCAGGAGCATTAGGCTGGTGTCTCCCTGAATGAGGGAAAAGGCCCACCTTATATAGCCAAAAACTTCCTGCCCAAGTTCTCATTTAGGTCCTCTTATGCAAATGAGG